TGAAAATTTTCAATTTTTTTAAATATATTTTAATAGTTTTTTATTCATAAATATATTTATGGAGCAATAGTTGACACAGAGTATCAATTTGTGCCATTTATTAAATTATACAGTATTTGAATCCCTACTTTAACTTTAGTGGATAAATTATGTTAAAAATAGAATATTGACTTTGTATATTTATAATTTTTAATAAAGATTAGTCACAGTAGATATTTCACATTAATATTATAAATATTAAAATTAAAAAAAATAAAATAGGATAATCTAATAAAAAAGAGATATACTTTTTAATTACAAAAAAATTTAAATAATTCAGAATATCATTCTCCTCTATAATAATAATAATAATAATAATTAAGAGTATCATCTTAAAATATATTTGTTATTTGTGATAATTTTAAACTAATATCCTTATACCTTATCTTATATTTATTATTTTCTTATAATTAAGAGATATAATTCTCTCTTATTATATCAGTCAATTTTAAAAATGAAATGATCTTTCAATCATAATTTTATATTTAAATTTAAAATCAAATCTAAATGCATAATTACAAACTGGTACTTGTATTGTTGATGCAGTGTGTTAATTATTATTTTAACTTTTAAGGGAAGCTGAAAGGATATTTTTATTTTTTATTTTCACTTAAAAGAAACATTTTGTCGAGACCGAATATCTAAGGCAAGAAAGAAATAATAAAATTGGAGGATCTGCAGCCATGTGCTAACATGATTGGTAAAGAAATGAAGCACTATCCTCATACTATATATATATATATATATACATGCTCTGATAAGTGATAACTGAAGCATTATACAAGTAATTTTTGAAGCCATCTTTAACTCAGGAAAAAGCTGTCTTAGCATCACTTTCAAAATAAATTCTATTTATCCCTATTCACACTGTGCTCATTGCTTTGGCCTATATATCCCAAACACTTTGATTGTCTTTTCTTTGGTCACCGTCATGGCTTTCACAATTTCTGGCTCTGATTGGTGTCATTCTTTGTCTTTAAGCAGAGAAACAGGATGATCCCAATTACGCATACTCCACGTGATCACTTTTCTTCTTCTCTGTTAACCTTCTCAGATCCCTCTTAGGACATGTTTTTGCTATAGTTTCGTTCATCGTAACACATTTTCTTTTTATACTTGTACCGTCCAGGCCGAAATCCGACTTGACCTTCTGCTCGGACAATATCCGACCAGGCCGCCCGGTTACAAGCCTTCTCGCCTTACAGGCTCAAAGCTGGAAGGCAAGTGTACTGTCCAGGTTAAAATCCGATTAGGTTTTCTTCTCGAGTATTTCCCGACTATCGTATCAGGCCACAAGCCCTTTCGCTTTCTCGGCTCAGGGCTGGAAGGCAAGTGTGCCGTCCAGGTCGAAATCCGACCTGCACCTCTATTCGGCAGTGGGCGATCATGCCTACTCGACACTAACCCGACCGAGGGCTCAGCACAGACCTAGTCAGTCATGACTCGACTCGACCTGGGGGACTTGATTCCTCTCGCCTAAAAGGACTAAGGAGACTACTCGGCATTAACCCGACTGGGTCCCCTGCGCGGACCCATCGGTAAGAACCCGACTAGACTTATCTCCTTTAACCTCGCGCCATCAAGATAAGAACGGTTAGGGAAATCCCTTTATTCTCAGGGCCCAAGAGGTCCTTGAACGACGTACCATAAAACCCAAAACCCTAGAGTTGAGAAAAGAGATTACACTTTTGAATGCTCTGGCTTTGAGGTTCGCCTTAGGACGAAACCCTAGCGCACCCCTTGACCGGAACAATACTTATGTTGTTACTTTTCCATTTCATGCTCTTAAATATATGTTTGGCGTTTTTAAAAAAGCAATTCAACTACACACTTAATGTGTATTTGGGAACACATTTTAAGTATGAAAAATCACGTTAATAACAATGTTACTTTGTGCCTGTTTAGATTCTCCTAAATGATTCAATTTTTCACGTCAAAATATATCAATAAATAATTACTTTTTTATCCATGTTTGAGATTTGTGAATGAGAATCAAAACACGCCTATAATTTTTTGCTATGAATTTTGATGTGAAAACATGAAGGACTAACTACATTGTTGATTGGATTTCGAGGACGCCTTTAGTTTGTTAAGTCTTCGAGGTTACAACCATGATTCATGATTAAAGAAATTGTTTTCTCCCCAAAACTCTTCATAGAAATTTATTGACGTCTGTGAACTCTTTCAAATGCAAATTAATTAAGTACTCTAGTTTGGATCATTTGGAATCGCTGAACATATGTTGAAAGTTTGTTGGGAAAATATCCTATTTGGATATTTTGCTTTAAAAGTAAGTTGGCCAAAGCTTTCAAACGTATCACAAAAATAGGCTAATTCAATAACACACTTGTACCAAAAAATTCAATGGCTCACTTGTACACGAAAAAGAAAGTACAAAGAAGAATAGATACGTCTAATTTGGTAAAGTTGAGGGGCCCATCTAGAGAGAAGATAACTGTTATTGTACTAGTGATATAATTTTAAAAAAATTATTTTTATATGTTGTTATTTTTAATTGGTTTGATACTTTATTAGGTTTCTAGTGTTTTTAATTTTTAATTAAGTTTCTAAATTAAAAAAATTGTAATTGGATTTTTTATTTTTATAATTTTTTAATCAAGTCTTTAAAGTTAATAAAATTATGACAAATTAGTTTAATTATGTTTTTATTTTAAAGATATTATAATTGTGTAATTTTAATTTGCAAAATTCTAATTCAATAATTTTAATTTCTCAAATATCTAAATTTTAATTGAGTAATTTCAATCTTTCAAGTATTACAATTGTACAATTTTAGTCTTTCAAGTATTATAATTATATAATTTTGACATAGCTTAGTTACATATATTATAATTTGTATTCATGTATAAGATGATATAAATTTTCAAAAGAGGAAATGGTGGATTCAAACCTCTTAGGAAGAGTCATAAGGATTTTTTGCACTATCCTTGTATCGAAAAATTTTGTCCCAAGCAACCTCACCTTGTTTACAATGCTTAGAAGTTTGTTAGAGAATTCTTTCACCATTTCTGACTCCTTCATTCGCTACATCTCAAACTCCCTGATCAAATTCAGCACTTGCATCCCTCTCATTTCCTTCATACTCTTGTTTGAGAAAATCTCATATAGCCTTTGTTGACTTTAGGGTCACAATTCTGGTGAAAATTGATTGAGAAACAGCAGAAAATAGACAAGACTTTGCCTTTGATTTTCGCTGCTTTCTTTCCTTATGATACTTGATTTGATTAAGTGTTGAATTTTCATGTAATTGACCAACCTCATAATCCTCCTCAACAGCTTCCCAAAGATCATTTGCATCAACAAAAGTCTCCATTCTAACTGCCCATAGGTGATAATTCTCACCATCAAATGCTGACAATGTTTGGACTGAATAATCATATTACGTTTTCAATTCTCTATATAAGTGTTTAGGTGTTTGGTGGAACTCTCAACCTTATCAAGTCCCTCAAGAACAAAATAATCTCTGGTACCAATTGTAGGAACTCAGAAAATTAGAAGACTAAAATTCATATTTTTATTCATACTTAAACTTTTCAATTAAAAAAAAAACATATAACTAATTCTGTTCATAAACATAAAAATTAAATGATAAATGTAAATATTCATAAAAGTGTAATAACACTTATAATTCCTATAATTAAAATTTATAATGATAAATTTTTTAATAATATTTCATTAATTTGAAATAAACTTTAATAATAAATGTTGTTTGATATTTTCAACAAGAATATCGTAAGCAATTTAAATCCATAAAGTTTTTGGAAACTTGTCGAAATTTCAATGAAGGTACAGCCAGAAAACTGTTACTTGATATCAAGCGAGATGTTGCTACGTAGTAACATCTTCACTGAAGTTGATCGAGTTTCAGTTCCTCTGAAATCAAGGGTAAACATGTGTCGCTACCCCAACACGGTTTTATGTGAGACATTAGTTAAAAAGGTGCCAGCTCATGTCGTGTCTCACTTTTATTAACTCATGTCATGTGCTTTAATCAATCAAAAACACGTAGATTCTCTGATAGCTGTTAGAGAATCTTGCATCTAACAGGTTTTGCTCTATTAATTGTAAATTTGTAATTGTTACCTCCAAGTTGTGAACCGACTTCACGAGGCTTGAGTCAAGAAAACTGATTAGGGAGGCCAATCGTTTAATTCTTCACGCATTAATACTCGAGTTTTGAAGGTTGTGTATCCTCTAAATTAGACATCAACTTTATAAGACTGACTTAAGAAGATCGATATTAGGAAAATGGTTAGATCTCCTAATGATAATGATAAGACTGATTAGAAGTTTAATTGATTATTTATGACTGACTAAACTTAACCAACTTGAATCTGGAAGATATTCTCCAAGACAAACAAAACTAAATAACAACATATATGATTAATCAAATACTGATTACCTTGTAACTTGCGACCTGCAATGTAAGCCTTATAGTAAGTTATTTTTTTAATGTTCTAGACATAAATTCACTAGATTATTATAGATGAGATCCTTGGTATCAAAATAATAACCAGGTAGATTTATCTTATTTTTAAATTTCCAAAAGCTTGATGGAATTAATACACAACAGTGTGACGACAACAATACACCAAAAAATCTAGGGAATGAGTATTTTCTCAACTCCCGCGACACAACTTCAACTATAGTATTCATATTACAACAATTTATAGTATAAATTTAAACAAGAAAGATGCTTAATTATTTGATTTCTACATACTTGAACTTCCTTATGACATGATGGTGATTGCTATTATTGATATTTGATAGTAACAATATTATGAAAGGCATGTATATATTGTGCCTTATTGAAGGGCTTGAAGTTGATGGGTTTGGTCCACCAAATAATCAAAACCACAAGAAGGGTGGCGGGCTGCTCCAGTCAAATAAAAAGCACGCCTCAGCCGTTCCAAGAGCCCTTGTGACTCATTTTTGTGAGCTTAGAACTGAACTGGGCTAGAGAAAGTTTGGCCAAATGTCCAACTTGCTGGAACTATATTTGGAAAAACTCTGACTTCTCCATCGGTGGTTGTGACTCTGAAGGACAAAGATTGACCATTCAAATATGCATTGGATTGCCAATTGGCACCCCAATTTCTTGACATGGCCATCCACACAGTTTTGGAGCCTTTAATGGATACAGATTGGATGGATCCTGCCCCAGCCACGTTGCTGATCAACACAAGCTCAAAGTAGTCCCTCCCATTCACAGTGAACCTAACCCCTCCGTGCTTCTTGCACGGAACCCTGCAACATTACTAATATTAACATGTCAAGGAAATAATTCACAAAAATGTCATATCGCTGCATAAATATTGTTATATTTATGTTTTGGTTTCATATAGTAGAATATATTGTTGAAGATCCTACATCACATAGTGGTATGGTCAAAATTAAGCTTAAAATAAGCTTATAAGATAGTATCAAAGTAAATCTTAACGATCATTGATGATTTTGAACTTAAAAGATCACTTACTATTGTATTATTACTAAATCATTTACAAATGTAGATTCCTAAGAACTTCACATTTGATGTTTAAAGTACAAGCAAAATATTTTAGAAATTCTACATCACCTAATGGTACGGCCAGAATAATATATATATATATATATATATATATA